GAGAGAGTTCCAAACAAGATGGATGCAAAGAGGACCACTCCAAGACACATTAATGTGCCAAAGGTTAAAGATAAAGAATCTAAAAGCAGCAAGAGAAAAGCACTTAGTTACCTACAGGGGAGTCCCTATAAGACTGTCAGTGATTTCTCAAAAGAAACTTTGCAGGCTAGACAAAGATTGGCAAGAAATACTCAAAGTCTTGAAAAGCAGGGAACCACAGTCAATACTGCTTTACCCAGCAAAGCTATCATCTAAAACTGAAGGGCACATAAAGAGACCCCAGAGAAGAAAAAACTAAAGGAGTTCATCTTCGCCAAGCCATTATTATATGAAATGTTAAGACATATTTAAAGGACTTATTTAAGAAAAAGATCAAAACTCTGAACAGGAAAATGGCAATAAATACATATCTATCAACAACTGCATCTAAAAAACAAAGCAAACAAGAACAGAGACAGAATCATTGATATGGAGAGCATTTTGATAGCTGCCAGATGGGGTGTAGGGGAATAGGTGAAGAGACCAGGGAATGAAGAAGTACAAATGGGTAGTTACAGAATAGCCATGGGGATGTAAAGTATAGTACAGGAAATAGAGTAGCCAAAGTACTTGTATGCATGACCCATAGACATGAACAATGGTGTGGGGACTGCCTGAGGAAGTTGGGGGTGCTGGGTGGAGGGGCCAAAGGGGGGGAAAATAGGGACAATTTTAATAGCAGAATCAATAAAATATAATTTTTAAATATTGAAAAATAAAAATTTTAATAAAAACATTACTTAGTAAAAAAGTCACACGCCAATACCAAAATTTTAATTATTAAGCTACCACGTGTAAAAGCAAGATACATTTTTTTATCCTCACCTAAGGATATTTACATTAATTTTAGAGAGAGAGAAAGAAACATTCATGCCCGAGAGAAATATCAATCAGGTGCTTCCTGCACACGCCCTGATGGAGAACAAACCTGCTACCTAAACCTGCAACCTATCAGTGCACAAGACAATGCTCCAACCAACCAAGCCACCTTGCCAGGGCCAAGATACGTTCTTCAGAAAGTACAGAGGGACACTGTTCCTAGAGAGCTCCTCTCCTTTTCTATCATTTTTTCAATTTGGCTAATGGTGTCTACCAATACATATTTAGAATGTAAACTATGTAGCAGCTGGCTGTTCTGGCTCAGTGTGGATTTAGAATTTGAAAACATGTGTGGCTTTAGAGCTGTATAATAAAATGCAATCTAAGATAAAGTTACATTTTTAACAGACTTATATATTTAGCATCATCATCATAGTCATCATCAATGATACCAGTATATATAGCAGGCACTGTAGCACTTTTTTTCAGTATTTTATTTATTATTAAACAACCCTGCCACACAGGCTCTTTTACTTTTCCCCATTTTGCAAATAAGGAAACCAAGGCTTAGGGAAGTATGAGTGTCAGATCTGTAATCTAAAGTAGGCTTATCAACTCAAAAGCAGTGCATTTAACCATACTCCTATCTGTAGATGATTAAAAACAAGCAAAGAAAAAAACCCAAACCAAAACAGTATTAACCACTGCTTCATTCTTGTAGGGTTCAAGGTTGTCAGTGAAAGATAATTTTTATACTCAGGTAGAATTCTCATTTAAAAACCACTTTTAAAAGACAATCTTTGCTTACTGCAAATGCACTCAAAACAGCATGTTCTTTTCCAGAGATTAAAAACTCAGGAGGCAGTGTGTGCAATCCACACTAAGGACTTTCATGATTACGCTTTAAAGTAAAATGGTTTTGCATACACAGAAAAAAAGTTCTACGTAAATATATGCCAAATAAGTGGCTACATTAGGGACAAAGAGAGGATCAGATGGAAAATGAGAGGTTTGGAGAACTTTTGTTTGGTATACTACATACTTGTACAGTGTTTCAATTTTAGGAGAGTATTATTAAATTACATTTCAGCCAGTCAAAATCAAACAAACACCTGAAATCCAGATGGTTGAAGTAATTTTACCTCCTTTATCCTTTTATCCTTGTTTTTGAACTTGAACATCTCAAAATAATCTTTCTGAGAATCCAAAAGAGTATTTATAAATTATGATAAAAAACAACAAAAGAGCTAGACACAAATGCTTTTGAATTTATTATTGCAGATGTAGTAAATTACTATACAAAATGCAAATATTGAAAAGTTATAATGCTGATTTTAGGCTACATAAATGCAATTAAACAGCAGGTAATATTTCTAAAATACAAGAAAGAAAAAATTGAAAAAAGATAAGTTATGAGCTTTTAAAACATAAATGGATTTGACAGAGTCAATTTATCAAGTAAAATATTTTTAATCCTGAAGCTCTAGGAAAATATTCAAGGTAAAGTAACAAGGTAAATTAACAACCACAATCCATACATCATGAATATGAACTACACAAAGCAACACATTATTGAAATTAAAGATACTGTACACAACCCTGGCTGGTGTGGCTCAGTGGATTGAGAACTGGCCTGTGACCCAAAGGGTTATCCATTTGATTCCCAGTCAGGGAGGGCACATGCCTGGGTTGCAGGTCAGGTCCCCAGTAGTGGGCACGTGAGAAGCAACCACATATTGACATTTCTCTCCCTTTCTTTATCTCTCACTTCCCCTCTCTCTAAAAAATAAATAAAAACTTTTAGAAAAGATACTGTACATAGTATATTCAAATAAACATCCTATGTATGCACAAATAAAAAATAACCTTCTTTGATGACACATTTTTTCTCCTTACGTAAAACTATTTCCTTTAAACACTGTACTACAGAGGCATTTGAAGTGCCGCGGTATATTAGTGAGGCAGCATGGTAGAGAAAAAGCATTGAATTAGGAACTTGGTGTATCTTAGTTTGAGTCCACTACTCTGGTGATATATGCCTCTGGGCACATTATTCAACTTCCTTGCAACTCAGTTTCATCATTGGTAGAATATGGATAATAATTTCTACCCTATATACTTCAGAAAGAGTTTCTATAATGCTTAAATTAGATAATATGAAATGAATTTGTGTAGGCCGCCATGCACACAATACAAAGATATTGGACCACATGATCTCTTAAGGCCTTTCCAAGTCTAATTCTGTAATTCTACTTTTATTATTGTACAACTTGGGAGCTATGTAAGTAATATACCAACATAGCCAAGTGAGGCATGTTTATCCTGAAGTAATAGCTTAGGTACTACTACCACCTGACCCAGCATTATATTTATGATATCATCAACATTGTACTGCTTATGGTATTACACAGCAATATTGCCATGTTGGGCATTGTTCTGAGTGTTCTGCATGCATTCACTCATTTCATTTTTACAGCAACAGAAACTGGTGATCTCAATCAACAAATTACAAATGAAAAAGCCACACTGTGGCTTATGACAAAGTAACTTATATTTCTGTATCACAGTGCATCAAGGTGTTTTTCACATTTTATTTGATTCTCATAAACAACCCCATGAGGTAAATAGGACAGGCATTCTCTCCCCTATTTTACAGAGGAAAAATCTGAAGCTGAGGAAGGTTTAGTTCCTTGCCCAAGATCCAAAGGGTAAGAGTAGTCAAAACTAGATCACAAACCTCTGTCTTCTTACTCCTAATCCAAGGTATGTCTATCACCATACTACCTCACAACTAAAATAGATGAAAACTACGAATTCTGATAAAGTGAACAACATAAATTCTTACAAGGTACTTATTAATACAAAAACTCAAAGCTACTGCCCTGGCAGGATGGTTCAGCTGACTGGAGCACTGTCCTTGTGTACCAAAGGGTTGAAGGTTCAATTCCTGGTCAGGGCACATACTTAGGTTGCAGGTTCCATCCCCAGTAGGGGAGCATATGGGAGGCAACTGATTGATGTTTCTCTCTCAGTCTCTCGTCCCTTCCTCTCTCTTTAAAATCAATAAACATATCCTTGACTTTGGTAAGGACTTAAAAAAAAGCATCCTACTGGACTCTTCACTTTTTTATATGAAACTGCAGATGCAATAAAGGAAAGTAACTTCTTGAACTGCTTGTGTCAAAAATACAGTAAGATAGCCCTGGCTGGATTGGCTCAGTGGTTGAGTGTCAGCCTGCCGATCAAAAGGGTCACTAGTTAGATTCCCGATCTAGGGCACATGCCTGAATTGTGGGCCAGGTCCCCAGTAGGGGGCACGCAAAAGGCAACCACATATTGATGTTTTTCTCCCTCTTTTCCTTCCCCTCTCTAAAAATTAATTAAATAAAATCTTTAAAAAATACAGTAGGGTAAAATATCTTGGTAGCAAGAAGTGTAAATCAGTAATTGTCCTTAATAGTATATTTAAATTAAACATTTTCAGTACAGGCACATTTGTTAAGCAAAAGAAACAAAACTGAACCTCACACTAAGTTGCTGGGTTACGACCTGCAGCTCATTTTTTTGGCTAAGGGGTGTCTTGTAGCCCAGGAGGTAAGACGAACATAAAAAGAAAATGAAGTGGCAAAAGGCTAATAGGAAGGAGGTAGGAAAAAATATATACCATGGAGAATATCTGCATTTCTTGAGGCCTTTCCTATAGGTAAGTAACACAGCTTAGCAAGAAAGAAGTACCACAACAGAATATGTCACTCAAAATGATCTTTGGGATTCAGGCATAGGTAAAACCTCTATTACACCAAAGTACTCAAAATTGTAAATCCTAATCAGAAGGATCCAAGATAAGCCCAATTTATACCAATATGACTGTACCCACAGTTTATTAAAGTGTGCATAAATTAACCAAGAAATTGTAATTAGAGAACCAAAAGGTGACATAAGAACCCATATCAGGGGGATTATCTTGTAAAGTATATGACTGCCTAACCACTATGTATGTACGTGAAACTGATATAAAATAATATTAAATGTAGACTGTAATTTAAAAATATTAAAAATTAAAAAATGTTAAGAAAGTAAAAACCATATATATCCACTTCCATTTATGCAGACCAAATCTGGTTATCCACATTAATACATACCTGATAGAGTTCTTCTAAATTGTACTTAATTGAAGTACTATTCTGGATAGCTTCCACTGCTTCCTTCAGTTTTTGCCATGTTTCATCTGTGTAGTTTTCTGGTAATTTAGGCTTATCTAGATAGGATGTAAAAGGTTGATATAAGAATAATATGTAGAACAGAGCAACAGAAGGATCCAAAAAATACAATAATAATATTACTACTTTTAAGGGTAAATTATGATCTTTATAATTGTTCTTCTTAAATATTAAAGTAACCACTATATTTAGGCATAATACAGAGGGTAAAATTCAAATGCCAGAATACCATATAAGTCATTTTGATTCACCTATTAAAACTGAAGGTAAGGGTTTTTTTTTTTCTACTATTGATTTTATTGCTTCAAAAAATAAAAATTCAAGAATGGAAGATAAAAAATAGCAATCCTGATCTTATTCCATCATGTGTAAAACTCAAGTCAGTTAACATGAATTTTGTACCTGAGATTTAAAATAATACTAAGTACCTATTATGTACAAAGTACATTATAAACATCTTAATTTTCTTAATAATGCCCTGAGCAAGTTATTATTATCCCTATTTGGCAACTGAGAAAACTGAGGCTGGAAGATTCATTTAGTAAGGTTTGCCCAAGGTCACCACAGCCAGTCAGTGGCAAAATCGGGATTCTAACCAAGTCTCTTTGACCCCCCCCAGTTATGCAGCATCTATAGAAATGGGGAGAACCATTTTTAATTCAGGTTTGAATTTAAACTACATCTATGAGCACAGGGAAATTTTTTAAATATTAAAACACCCAAATGACTCCAGAACCTATGTAGTATTTTCAGAATGGCTTTAAATTTCCTTTACCAGCAATGAGTATTCTTTTTAATTAAAACATCCAAATGCCTTAATAATGAGTGTTTAGTTTATGAGGGAGAGGAAAAAATCCAAACAAAATCTCTGAAACCAGTATGCAAATGCAATTAGGATCATAGCTCATCTGTTTAAAAATTCTCAGCTATTAAATCAATATATTTTAAGTGAAATAGTGAACACATTAATCAATTACAACTTATATTTACTTCAGAAAGGTCTACTATTAAATCAAGATTACAACACTCTTGAGTGCCTGGGAATGGGAGAGGAGTAATAAAGGAAAGGTTAAAAATAAGCAAGACTATAACCCTCTGCTTGAGACAAAATAGAGCATATTCCTGGTTTCCACACTTATATGGAAAACACAAGCATGGAAAAGCTAATTTTCTCAATACTGACATTTAGTCACAAGGCAGTTAATATGGTAAATGTTACTTTAGTTCATTCATTTACTTCCCCACATAACAGTTTTTAGCATCTATTACCTGCCAGTTAAGAGTGTTGAAAAAGTCAGTCAGAAAACTGGAAACACAGCCAACAGATACAAAGTAATTCAGCTCAAGTTGACATTTTTTAATTGCTAATTTTATATTTGTATCAATGTACACAGTCAACAGATACCAAGTAATTCAGCTCAAGTTGACATTTTTTAATTGCTAATTTTATATTTGTATCAATGTACACAGTCAACAGATACCAAGTAATTCAGCTCAAGTTGACATTTTTTAATTGCTAATTTTATATTTGTATCCATGTAAAATTTTGTATCCATAATTCTCTCAATCATATATCTCAAACACAAAAACGAACAAATTTTCCGAAAAGGTGCAGTCAGTACTTTAAAACCCATTTTAACGGTGAAATATAGATGTAGTAATCTTTACACTAGTGCCACACAGAGTTACTACTTCTGTGTATACACAGTATTTTTCACTTCCAAACCCTACCTTTGGAAAGAAATGCAGAGCTCATAAATGTTCTTCTCCAAATATTGTTTCCACAGTGAGTTTCAAGAATATAGTATTCAACATTATAAATCTAACTATAAATGTTTGAGCATGAAAAGATCATCATTGCTACCTGCATTTCTAGGGACTGGAGAATGTGGCCTACTGGAGCACAAAAATAAAAATCCCAGCAGTGCCAAGACTAACTATGCACCTGAAATAAATAAAGCTCTTTAGAATAGAAATTTCTCACCTGTAAAATCCGGGTCACTCATACCGACTGTCAATGTTGCAGAGAGTAACTGATTAGATACAATAGGCTGAGACAGACCTCAAAAGCCTGCACAGAAACACCCGCTGTATGCTTCAGCACAAGGATACCAACCACCCCCGGAAAATGAACCCTCCACTCAAAAGAGGACCTCCCTCCACCTCATTGATTATGCATAACACATTAGGCCACCTCAATACTGTTTAATAAATTAACATAAATAGAGCACGTGACTGCTCAAGTGTCAAATCCTTAGTAGGTGATTATGGATTTTGGCTTTGGTTACCTTTAAAGTTCTTGATCACTAACTTCTTAGCAGAGCCAGGCTTGCTGTTAGCAAAGCTAGAGACGGTGGTAGAAGATTTAGCCAGGCCGTTTGCGTGATGCACCGAAGCCACAGAAGAGATTAGTATACTCTTATTTTTAAGTTGCTGCTGCTGAGATGTTGCAGCAGTTGGTGAAGATGAGGAGGAGGAAGAGGAGGATTCCTCAGCCATCTTCGCATCAAACCCTACAAACTCCAGGGTGTCTTCAAAACGCAGCTTCTTCTGTATCGGTACGTGGCTGGAAGCAGCCAACGAAACCCCCACGCAGAAAGACGAGGTTGAAGGGGATGCCGAATCCCTAGGTTGTAAAGGAGGAGTGGAAGAGGAGGGAGAGGTGGAATCAAAGTCTTCTCTCTCGTTACTACTGTTACTGCTGCTACTGCTGCTGCTGCTGCTGTTTAACTTTCTCTTCTTGGCAGAGGTGGGCGGAGTGGTGCTGGTATTACCATCAGTGGCAGATCTGACCTCCTGAGCAGCAGCAGCAGCAGCTGAGGGATTGGGGGAAGAAAAACCTGTTGGAAACATGAAAATAGCGGGGTCAACAGGCAGAGGAGCATCAAAAACCTACGTTTATATGCCTGCGTGTGTGTAGGAGAGAAGGTGGCAATGCTCGAAGGGGAAGGGAAGAAAGAAGAGAGGAGAAACACAGAGGACGAGAAGGAAAGTGAAGGGGGGGCTACACCGGGGGAATGGGAGGGTTTGGGAAGGCGGATAGGCTGACACCAGGAGTGAGCAGAACAAGGGGGGGAGAGCGAATGAGAAGGCAGACAGGTAAACGGCCGTGCCGTCCCCCTTTCCTGCTTTTCGGTCTCTCTCCCCCCTTTCCGCTGGAGCGACTCAGTGAGTCTGTGAAGCTGCAGCTCCTCCTCCTTTTCTCCCTCTGTTTGGGAGGGGAGAAGCCGTGGCTGGGGGGGAGGGGGAAGAGAGCCAAGGCTTGTTATTGTCAATAGCACAAGAATCTAAAGATGGCGCCACTTCCGGTCACGCGGCAGCGAGGGCGGGGCGGTATCAGTCCGGAGGTGGGAGGGGGGTGGAGAAAAAGCACTGCGGGCTCCAGGGGGGCGGGGGAGCTGGTTGAATGCGAGGCGGCAGGAAAGCGGCGGCAGAGGCGCCCGAGATGGTCCGGCTCTGGGGCTCCCGCTTGCTCTCTGCTCTCGGTCTGGCGCTCCCTTCTCAGGCAGCGACGTCCTCCCCAGTCTCCTGGATAACTCCCACCCCCTCCTTTACGGTCCCGCGGGAAGCTTCGCGCCGCAGGGCCCTTACCGGAAGTGACCGAGGAGACACTTTTCATAACGCCCAGATCCTGAAGCCCCCAGGTCCGCAGGACTGGGGGGGGGGAGAGGGGGAAAGGGGGGGGTAAGAGAAGTGGACCGGGAGGAGGGACGGGTCTCCGAGGCACCTTCGGAGCCCCCGATTGGAGCTTTCTGAACGCGGGGCCAACAGGGGGTAGAGGTGGTGGGGGGGGGTGGAAAGGTGGTGAGAGATGGAGCGGGAAGGAGCTCGAAGGGGAGGGAAGGTGGTGACGGTGAGGGGCGGGGTGAGCTAGCTGGGAAAATAGGGGAGGAGGGAGAGAGGGATGGAGGAAGGGAGGAAGTAAAAAGTAAGGGAGAATGGAAACTTTGAAAGAGATAAAGGAATAAGGAGGGGTAGTAAGGCCAAGGAGGGAGTAACCCCAAATGGAGAAAACCGTAATCATGCCGTTCTGTGTACTGCTAGGGAGGAATGTCATGAGGTTAAGGTAGGAAAAGAAAAGAAACAGTTTATATAGCAAGAAAAACAATTATTGATTCGGTTGAGCTATAAATGGCTCCTCTGTTATGTCAAGGACACCAATGACCCCCAAGACTGAATAGGGCCTGAGTTTTGATCCCTTCCTCAGTAATGCAGATACAAACCCTTTCAATTTCCTACCCGGAGCATTTTCTAAGATAGCTAGCTAGAGTTAAGGGTGCATTCTAAGGCCAAGAAACAGGAAGGCAAGCCCCACCCCCGCACCCACACCTACAGCACAATTCCCAGGACCAACCCCGGACCCCATCAGTCATTAACCTAGTAGTTTACATACTAAACGCCACTTATTTTACCAAATCTCGGCTCATACGCTGTCTCAAAGAATAAATTTCAGGAGAATATCGACAAAACTCAATGTTTTCAACCAACGTAGTACATGAGCCAAAATTTTAAAGTGGATTACTCATGAGAACAAACCTCTAAATCTGGTTAAATTTGCAGCAATAAACCTTGTAAACTTCCTGTTGGGAGTTTGTATTTAACTCGAGGGCATTGGAAAGGGGTGCAAAAACCACTGGCAGCGCAGAGTAACAGGGGGAAAAAGAGGGACAACTGTAATTGAACAACAATAAAAAACTAAATATGCCAACCTGTTGATCATTCTAACCACAGAAACATTCAATGAGCATGTATCGAAAGACCAATGCCACAAACAACCCCAGGTCCCTGCCATTGAGAAGCCAGTTAGGGAAGATAGTTTCAAAACTAACTTCCATAACAGTACTATTAACAGATGTACAAAGTGCTGTGGAAAGAGGTGAAACAAGAAATTTGGGGGAATTTTGTAATAGAGTTTTACAGAGGAATTGAAGTTTATGCTGGGTCTCAAAGGGAGAATAACCAAAAAGACAAGAGGAGAGGGGGTAAAAGGCATTCTGAGCAGTGGAAACAGAGAAAACAGAGTTTTGAAAGGGCCTGGCCTGTTTATAGAAATTTGGAAGGTGTAGTGGGCCTTTCCATAGGAAAAGTATGATGCCCTGTTGCAAGTAAGGAAGATGAGGTTCAAGAGTATCTGGCACAAAAAGCCAAAACTTTTAGAGTCTACCTTGTAGGCTAGGGTAGACGGCATGGAAACCAGCAAGTAAGCTGAACTTTTCAAAGCAGGGGTGTGAAAGGCAAAAGATTTGTACAGTCTGAAGAGAAATCAGAGTATAAATGGTGATGTGCAGAACCTTGACTTGGGGTGATGAATACACCATACAGTATACAGATGATGTATTGTGGAATTGTGCGCTTGAAACCTGTATAATTTTGTTAAATAGTGTCACCCCAATAAATTCAGTAAAAAAGGAAACAAAGTAAAAGCAAGGGAGTGACAGGATTGTAGTGGAGTGAAAGCAGTTTGTATCCTACCTTGATATATACCAGTTAGAATCCTAAGAATAAACCAATTTTCTAACTTTGTTTACACAGGCTTACTTTGTTTTTTTTTGGGGGGGTGGTTTTTTTTTTTTTTTGTCTTGAATGTTCCTTGGTTAAAATGCAAATCCTCCTAGAAGAGGTGCCATCTTGGGACTCTATCAGCTTTGTGCTGTTTGATGAGCCTGCTGAGAGCAAGGCTGTAGGGTACTTAGGCTCCAGGGCCACAAAAAATGGAGATAGAGACCTGAAAGGGGGGGAGGTAGATGGATTCCTGCCTGTTGGGTTGTAGCGTATTGTCCTTGCTGCCTAACGTGAGTCTGTAAACTCTTAAGACCAAGGAAGGTATCCTAAAACATTAAACCCTCTTTTATTGTGTCTCACATTTTCACAAGATGCTGAACAACTGTGTAAATGCAGGGTAAATACTGAGTTGAATATTTCATCGAATAGAAATAAAATAATGCCATATCTTTATAAAGAAGAATTAACTGGCTAATTTTCAGGATTATGAGCAAGGCTGTTCTAATGCATGTAGTTATATTCCTAAGAAGGGTGTATGGATGGGCCAGCTGATAATGGCCCAAAAGTACCTCTTCTAGGAGGATTTGCACTTTAACCAAGGTCTTTTCAAAACAAAAAAGTAGACCCAGTTCTAATTCATGAATTATATTCTTTAGAATGATGTATGGGAGTGCTAGCTATTTTTGAAATTACGAATATTAGTGCAACAGGAAGGTGATGCTTTGCCATACAAAGATAAACTTTTGTAAGTAACATAAAGGATAGCCAAGTCCTGTTAATATTCCACTACATTCTAGTAATAATGGCCCCGAATCTGATGACATGGTTATCTAAACCCTTCACTCTACTGAGACTTGTTAGTTCTAAAAGACCCTTGGTTCTTGAGCTTTAGCTCACTTTTGATGGCCCAGTAGTTCAATCTACTATTTAAGTTGTCTATGAAATATCCTCAAGTGAGTTTTGTGGATATATATATATGTGTGTGTGTGTGTGTGTGTGTGTGTGTGTGTGTGTGTGTTTAATAATCTTTTGACATTTTACAACCTCATTTTACTTTGTGCCAGGTTAGTCCTCACTAAATAGCATATCTTAATATGGATATATGATTTTAATAGTGATTTTTCAATTTAACATTTACATTTTGTGGCACATACCAGCTTAAATATTATATGACATGTGAGGACCATAACTGTGTGACTTCTTGGCCCCTCGGGCCAATTTAAAAGAAGAAAAACCTCCCACATTGCTTTGTAAAATGTCATTTACATCCAGAAGCAACGAATCGGGGCTAGCTAGAACATAAACATATATTTTATACACGTAAACATTAAACCAATTCTCAACATAAAAAATACATTTTTCAAGGTTGAAGTCACCGAAACCACAATAATCAAGAGATGCAGTGTAGGACACTATAGAATTATGGCCATTATTAGACTAAATCATACTGGACACTTAACACATACTCCATGTACTGTATTATAATCTTTCATCTTGTGATTTTAATTCATACATTAGAAACACTAATTAAACTTTACAATGCTTCTAAGTGAGGTATAGTTATGATTGGCCTTTTAATCAAGTAAATAAATGAATTTGTAGGTATTTATAAGGGTAAATATATGCATAAAGGAAGAAATACAAACAATGAGGACCAGTGTTTCTAAATTCCACTCCCTTATTTCTGTAGGCATTTCTCTAAAGGGGCAGAATATAACTTGTTTCCCTTTTTTTGATCAAAGGGTTTCCCCTGTACTTGATTTTTCTCCAGACATCCCAGAGCAGGAGCTTGTCAATAGATAGACACCACCCCTGGAAGTCTTGTTATCTGTGGGTGCAATTTTCCCTAAAAATAGGAGACACTGCTTGCTCAGAATACCAAAGATGTTTTTGCAGCGCGCTTTGTTTTAAGAATGTGTCAAGAAAAAATATACACTGCTGGATAAAATGTGGCCCATGTTCTCTATCCACTTTCCTGAAAGACCACCTTTGAAGCAGGGAAATACAGCAAAGGCAAACCTAGCAGTGATGAGAAACGTTGTATCATAATGAGCACTTTGTTATCAATAGCAAGGTGCTGCTATGGGATCACTGAGGAGGCCAAAGCTTAAGCAAAGATTATCCAGCTGTACAATGTGAACTCACCCTTTGACCATCCTGGAGTTGCTCTATAAAACAAGCAAGTTAGTCACAAATGCTGAACCCACAGTGCTCAGTAAAATGCAAATAACAGATCTCATTTGTAACAAAATCATTTATCTTCTATGTAAAATTATCTTATCTACTGAAGAATTACTGACTCAGGTATGTCAACAACCATTTGGACGTAGCTCTGTCGCTCAGAGATTTTTATCTACTGTCATACCCTGAACCATCTGGAAAGCAGATTTAAAGACTAACAGGGCCAGGCCATTTGCCTTGGGGGTTGGGGGTGGGGAACTGAATCAGCCACATATATTACTTCTTCTTTTGGTGCTGCCAAGCACTTGCTTATTATGGAATTGCTGGGTCTATTTTTATCCTTCTGTTCACTTTTATCAATGACTCTCAGTCTTTCCCCCTCACCATGCTTTTGGGTTTATTCTTCAAATGGCATATTCAGCTTTTCTTTTTCTCAAGAGCAAGACCAGTGTAGGGTTGTTTTTTTTTTAATTTTTAAATTTAGTTTTAGAGAGAAGGGAAGGGAGGGAGAAAGAAAGGGAGAGAAACTTCAATGTGAGAAGCACTGATTGGTTGTCTCTTGTAAGCACCCCAACCTGAGATTGAGCCTGCAGTCCTGGCATGTGCTTTGTGGGAGGAAGCCCAACCAACTGAGCCACACCAGTCAGGGAAGGGCCAATGTAGGGTTAAATCCATGGTTCCCCATTCTGACTGCACAACAGAATTGCCTGGGTAGCTTTTACAAAAAGCACCTTTGCTCAGGTTTGAACCTAGTCCAGCTAAATCAGAATCTCTGTGAGTAGGGTCTCAGCTTCCAGTATTCTTAAGAAGTTCTCTGGATGTTTCCACATACCTCTAGGGTTGAGACCACAACTGTTGGTGAAGTAGGTACCATTGTGATTTGAATGGGGTTGATAAGCCCTTGTACTCCTTTCAATGCCTGAAATTACAATTGTTAATTCCTTTTGATTAAAAATAGCTTCCTTGAACAACAATAAAGAGAGGAGAAAAATAAAATAGCCCCCTTCTCTAGGAATTCTTTTTTTCAAATGCAAATTAGCCAGAGTGTCTTTAAAGTGAATGGGTCTTGGGAACTAAGAATAATGAAGTACAAAGTGCATTGAAGTAAACAGAACAAGGAGTAGGTTTTGCAATGGAGGGGGGCGGTTTGGGGGTGTAAAGTTACCATCAAAGGAGGAAAGATTTCAGAGAGGACATTTTTGCTGACCTCCCAGTATTGCCTTGGGCCAGTCCGGCTTTGTGAACTAAATATTTAAAATATAGCCAAATTTAACTGCTTATTTTATCTAACAAAATTATGTTAAAAACCTAAATAATTTTAATAAGCAAAAAAAAAAGAGCAGACATTAGGAATGTAGGTTTGGTTGGAACGATTCATAAATGCCCAACTTCTGAATTATCATTCACCATATGGATGTTTCTATTGCCAAGTCATCTGTTTTTCCTGATTTCATTAAATGTTCTTTATTCCCACCAATAGCATTATTTCTCTTGCTAGTTCATTTGGTCATTCAATAAAAATGTATTGAGCAAGTAACTACTTGGGGCAAGGCATGGTGCTGCTAGAATACAAAGCTAACACAAAATTCCATTTGCAATTGATTTTACAGCTTTTCAGGGCACTTTCACATTCAATCTTATTCTGTCCTCATAGCCACAGTTATGAGATACATCAGAGCCATCCCCATTTCACAGATGAGAAACAGGCTCAGAGAAGGAGGTTTAAATGACTTGGCAAAATCACAAAGCCCACAGAGTTAAACCAAACCTATTTTTTTTTCTAATTCCAAATACAGTAATTTCCCATAGTTTACAATGTAGTAAGGAGACATGCTATAAAATCGTCTCAAGTAATAGACAAGTTATGAAAAGACATTCAGAGTCCCACTTACCAGAAGAAAATATGAGAAATAGTAAAACTAACTTCTTTATTGAAGTTAGCCAAATCACAGTGTCCAAAAGGAGGCCAAGCTTGGATTCAGTTCAGGCTATCATTAAGCAGGCAGGACACAGCAGCAAGCCGGGTACATTCAAGGAGACAGTGGCAATTTGGCTCTAGCGAATCCGTTTGTTCTCTGGCTGGACCCTCAGCCAGTGGCTGATCTTCACCAGAAGTAGAAACCAGCACCTTCTGCTAGCCAAATCCAGGCAAACACTGAATAAACCTTGCCATAGGGCCCGTTACGATCTAGTCACTGAGTATACAAAGACAACCTTTGCCCTCAAACAGTTCTCAATTGGCCTAGTTGGTGAGGAAGACAATTATAGGACTGAGATAAAGGTTACTAGAGGAACACTGGAGATACCTGAACAGCCTAGGAGGATAAGGTGCACGTAGGGAGGAATAGTGGAGGAAGGGTGAGGGTGGGCAGTTAAGAAGAGCTTCCAGAAAGAGTGATTCACTTTAAATTCCTGAGTGTAAGTGAGAATTAACCATGTAAGGGGAGTAGGAGGGAGCAGAGGGCACAAAGAGGGGGAAAAAGAAGCACATTTAAATCCTTAAGGTGAGAGAGAATAAAGCATATTCAGGAAATTGCAAGACTGGTTCTCAGGGAATAGGTTCATTCCTAACCAGAAACTCTGGAGTGCTAAGGAAAAAAATGAAGACAGCATCCCAAGCTCAAATCCTGTAAAACAGTGATTTTCAACATTTTTTGTCTCATGGCACACATAAACTAATTACTAAAATTCTGCAGCACACAAAAAAATTATATTATTTTGCTAATCTACCAAAAAACAGGTATAATTTTGTTTCATTTACAAAAAGCAGTAATAATAGTTATTACCTACTCTTTTTGCTCTGAAGTGACTTAAGAAAAAATCAGGTGCCTATACTTGTATATAAAGACTTATGGTACCAAGAATTAACCAATCAGATGGAACCTTATGTAACATGACAAATGAAATGCAACTGTATTATTTGACCTGTATATTTATGGTTCAAGACGGAGCATTCATACTAGATGGCTACAGTTGTGTTGGCTGTTGTGATTTTTTTTAAATTTGTTAATCTAAGGGAAGAGAGGTCAGTGCTCTGACTATATTGTCAGGTACTACATGTTTTAAGAATTCTTGTGGCACACAGGTTGAAAATCACTGCCATAAAGCAATTCCTAGGCCTCATAGCATGAGGCCTTACTCCTATACCTTACTTGCTGTTGGAGCTGTGGCTACTGGTAATAATTCTTGCTTCGAGCCACACTAGTTCAGGAATTAGCCTTACAGTTGGGCTTATCCTTGTATGTAGGAGCTCAGAATCACAAAGGTGGGAGGGCCTGATGAAGCATGGGAAATAAGATAATGAGGAAAAAATGAGATAATAGAAATACTCTTATGATCACAAGATTGAACAATGCTATAGGAATTCAGATCAATGAGAGCAGGTTTTGGGAAATGATGGCCACTTAGACTAAGTCTAGCCAGTTGCCTGTTTTGATAAAGGATATTCTACTGGAACACTGCCATCCTCATTCATCCACATATTGTCTGTGGCTGTTTTTGTGCTAAAACAACAGAGTTCAGTAGTTGCCAGAGACCTGAAGGCACAAAGCCAAAAATATTTCCTATCTAGTCCTTTATAGAAACAAAAAGGCTGACCCTTGCCCTTGAACACAGTGGGCGGTAAAAATAGAGATATGGAGAATATCTAGTGGTGGTACAAATAGAGAATACTTAAATTATTAAAAATATAATGAAGCCCTGGCTGGTGTAGCTCAGTGGATTGAGCATGGGCCTGTGAACCAAAGGATCATGGTTCAGTTCCCAGTCAGGGCATGTGCCTGGGTTGCAGGCCAGTTCCCAACAGGGGACACAGGAGAGGCGACCATACATTGATATTTCTCTCCCTCTCTCCTTCCCTTCCCCTCTAAAAAAAGATAAATAAATGAAATCTTTAAAAAATATATAATGAAACACAAAGGAGAAAAATTTAAAACATGCTAAGAATTTTCTGTTCCTAGATTGTATCACCTTTGATTCTACAAAGAATGACAAGAGATTATTCTTTAATAGAATGCCTAAATAAATCATGATATATTCACACATCAAAATATTATCCAGCATTAAAAAATGAATTCCAGAAGATGGAGACATAGGTAAACATGCCTTCCCTTCTCGAAAGGAGGGGGGAAGTCTTGCTTTTATAGCAAGACTACAAAACAAATATCACCCAGATTTGTCAGAAAATCGAGCTGTATGGAATTCCGACAACTAAGGATTTAAAGAAGCCACATTCATCCAGACAGGTAGGAAGGGTGGACGCATGGAGAGGTGCAGAGGGTGGAGAGGTGGAACAGGCCGTCCCACATCTAAATTGGGAGGGATACCTCAGGGATGAGGGATCCCAGCCCCAGACCAGACCACACAGCCTAGGGTTCCAACACCAGGAAGGTAAGTCCACATAACTTCTGGTTATAAAAATCAATGGGGGTTGGGGTAGCAGAAGAAACTTTGGGATTCTCAAGAGACTCCTCTTAAAGGGCCCAAAGTGGACTTAGGACTCACACAGATGCATCCCCTCTGTGATTTAGCACCAGGGCAACAGCTGGAAGGACACCAGTGGCATACAGAGAGAAAGTGACGTGACTGGCAACAGGGCGAGTGCCAGGAGATGGCTTCCTCCTAGATAAAACTTCCGAGGCCAGGCAGTGGCATTGTCCCCTGTCTAAGTCCTTCCCCACACAGAGTCACAGAGCGGCAACATGGGTTGCCATGCCCTGGTGATTACCTAAGGCTCCACCCTATACAACTTACAGGTGCACTTGCTACTAAGGGAGTCAAAGCAGCTCTACTTAATACATAGAAACAAAGATGGGGAGGCTGCCAAAATGAGGAGAAAAGAAATATGGCCCAAATGAAAGAACAGAAAAAACTCCAGATAAAGAAGTAAACAAAATGGAGATAAGCAACCTATCAGATGTAGTGTTCAAAAGACTGGTTATTAGGATGCTTCAGAAACTCATTGGGTACTGCAGCAGGACAAAAAAAAAAAAAAAAGACCCAGGCAGAAATTAAGGTTACATTAAGTGAAATAAAGAAAAATATATAGGGAACCAACAGTAGAGGGAGTGAAACTGGGAATCAAATCAACGATTTGGAACAAAAGGAAGAAAACAAGCATTCAATCAGAACAGCAAGAAGAAAAATAATTTAAAAAAAAACAAGGGTAGGTGAATGAGCTTCTGGGACATCTTTAAATGCACCAACATCGGAATCATAGGGATGCCAGGACAAGAGGAAGAGCAAGAACTTGAACACTTATCTGAAAAAATAATGAAAGAAAACTTCCCTAATTTAGTGAAGGAAATAGGCATAGAAGTCCAGGAAGGACAAAAAGTCCCAAACAAGAGGGACACAAACAGGCCCACACCAAGACATATCATGATTAAAACGGCAAAGGTTATGGATAAAGAGAGAATCTTAAAAACAATAAGAGAAAAGCAGATAGCTACCTACAAAGGAGTTCCCGTAAAACTTTCAGCTGATTTCTCAAAAGAAACAGCTGGCAAGAAGGGACTGGCAAGAAGTATTCAAAGTGACGGAAGTCAAGGGCCTACAACCTAGATTACTCTATCCAGCAAAGCTATCATTTAGAATGGAAGGGCAGATCAAGTGCTTCCCAGATAAAGTAAAGTTAAAGTAGTTCACCATCACCAAGCCCTTATTATATGGGAGTTATATAAGAAAAAGAAGACCAAAATGATGAACATTAAAATGGCAATAAATTCACAACTATCAATAAATGAATCCAAATAACAAACTAAGCAAATAAACAGAGCAGGAAAAGAATCATAGATATGGAGGTCATTTGGAGGGTTATCAAGTGGGAGGAGGGAGGGGGAGAATGGGGGAAAAGGTACAAGGAATATGAAGCATAAATGGTGGGTACAAAATAAACGGGGATGTTAAGAACAGTATAAGAAATGGAGTAGCCAATAAACATATGCATGACCCATGGACATGAACTAAGTGGGGGACTGCTGGAGGGAATGGTAGTACTGTGTGGAAGAGGGTACAGGGAAAATTGGGACAACTGTAAGCATAATCAATAAATTATATTTAAAAACAATTCCAGCTATATGCATAAATCACAGAAATAATATAACGTGAAAGAAGTAAATCATGGGAGAACACATACAATTTAATAACTCTTTCATAAAGCTCAAATATAAGGAAAGTTTATGGATATATATGGTAAAATTATTAAAATTAAGAAGGTAAACCCTGGGTGGTGTGGCTCAGTGGATTGAGTGCCAGCCTGTGAACCAAAGGGTTGCCAATTCAATTCCCAGTCAGGGCACATGTCTGGGTTGTGGGCCAGGTCCCCATTTGGAGGCACATGAATGCAACTACAAGTTGGTGTTTCTTGCCCTCTCTTTCTCCCTCCCCCTCTGTAAAAATAAATAAAAGAAATCTTTTTAAACATTAAGAAGGGAAATAATAACACAAAATCCAGGATAGGGGATTGCTCTGGAGGAAGCAAAGGAGGAGAATTTAGGTAGATTCAAAAGCATTGATGGTATTCTAGTTCTTAAGCTGATGATGTGTTCATGGATATTTGTTTTAATATTATACTCCATAAATGACATGCCACAAATATTCTTTTGTGTGTATTAAAATTATATAATAAAGTTTTAAAAAGTCAAATATAGCAAGTGGTGACCTGTTAAACGCAGGATCATAGCAGTTTGGAGGAAGAATGGCTGGCAGGGATGGCAAAGACAACTAGGACTGATTTTCAGAACATTTAAGAATTTGTTATGGGTTCCCTGAGATTACCTGTGAGCTGGGGGAAGCACTGTCCAACCTGGTGGAATAGACTTTCCTTGGTTCACAATATGGGGGCTTAAACTTATAATTTGCATATTAATAATACAAATCTGAACTTAGTGTATAGTATTATCAAGACGTGTGATTGGGAGATCTTTGGGTTACTTGCAAAAGGAAACGATGTGTACAAAGACATGAGGGTATGAGAAAAATCACATGCCATTTAAGCAAATGCAGTATTATGCTGTGTGACTGATGTGTGGTGTAACTGCCTTGTGGGGGGGGTTGTGGTGGGAGATAAGACAGAGAGGCAGGTAGGGTTCAGGTCCAGGTAAAAATTGTAAGCAGTGCTTCCGTTTGGACTCAATCCAGGATTAAGGGCTTCAAGCAGGGAAAGGAATAATATGA